AAATGACTGCCCACTGCTCCGGGTGTGTGTTCACGGTGTGTGTGTGTTCACTGCTGTGTGTGTGCACTTTGGATGGGTTAAATGCAGAGCACTAATTCCTAGTATGGGTCACCATACTTGGCCACATGTCATGCCACTCATATGGCCGCTTAAAATACAATACAACTTACGATTCACTCTGTTGACCTGTGAGCCTCACATTTTTACTCCTCATTCAAATCTGCTGGATAATATGGCCAATATGATAATATGGCGATTTTACTGTCAGAATTCATTTCAATTTGAAGAGAGTTGACTTAGGGAAAGAAACTACTGCTAAATGTGCTCATTGCAATGTTTTTCTAGTTTACCAGATAGGTAGTAACTATCTGTCTGTAGGGCCTATAGTCTATAATTAACCCTCAAACATCAAACTTTCCTTTTTAACCTTATTTTTTTAGACAATATATTTAACTGCTTACAAAATGTGATATTAACTGTAATGCACGGTGTCCATTACTTCAATGTGTTTGAGCTATCATGTGACCTGTAACTATGGCCTCCTTATGGCATAAACATAAATTAAACATTGTCAGTGAAAGTGGTTTAGCACCATATACCCAGATCCATACATGCATATGAAGAGTTTAGTTCTAAAACGAGATAAACGCCATTTAAAAAAAGAGATAGAGTTCCCGCCAAAATCAGTATTGTATCTGGTCGGTATTTGAAAAGACAGTTTTTAATTGTATGCAAAATGCGATATCCGCAGTGTTATTCTGTCATGTTTTCCATTTTGTTCTATAATAAACGATGCACAATTATTTTATAAACAATTACTTTATTTAATAAAGACTTGATTTAGCTTTAGGGACAATTAAACATTTACTTAGGAAATACAAATGTGAAAAAACATACGCCAAAAAAAAGAGCCAGGGGTTCAAGGATGGCCAAACAATACGGCAATTAAAAATCAAAAGAGAGAGAAAAAAAATACATTAAATAGAAAGAAAGAAAGAAATGAGGGGGGAAAACAATGAACATAATATTTAGGGACATACTATTGTATTGACCCAAAAAAAAATTTTTTAATTTATTTATTTACTTAGCCTATTATTATGATTATTTTTTTGCATTCGAGGAAGCTGCGGTGTGCATCGGTTTACGCAGCTGTGCACAGATTCGCCGATTTCCCGCTTGTTCATGTAAATGCAGCCTGCGTTTTCGGAACGCCGCCCTGACTCTGCAGTTCCCGCCCCTCTGCTCACTCTCAGCCTATTCGACAATCTCATATTTGAACTGCTGCAGACAGCCAAACACTTACCAGCGACAACGGGCTAGAATACAGAGGCAGAGCAGAGGAGCATGGGTTGTCACAACAGCAAGGTCTGTGGCCAGGTCTCCCGGAAAAAGGTAGGTCGTTTTAAAACCTCCTCCTCAGGATGTTCAGAAATAATGCAAACTCGCAGTGAGACTCGCAGCAACATCAGAGGCGAGAAATGTTGCAAATACAGCACGTGCTTATGTGTCTGTATTCTGGGAGCCACTCTTGTTTGGTTCTCTCAGATCACTTGTTACTTCCTCCATAATGCGATGCAAACGCTCTCATGATAGTTTGCCGACTTGTGAAAGTTTTCATTAGAAACAGATGCCGGGTTGATCAGATGAGATCTAGCTTACTGTTGTTTAAAATGTGCTGCTGACATTCATTATGACAAATTAAAGGCGTGCTATCCAGCATTTAAGTTGGAGCACTTTGTGCCTGCTTTTAAATTGTTCCGCATTTCGGTCGATGGCAAAATATTCGAGGTGGTAAAAAAAGATGAACTCCTTTTTAATGTAGTTTTAAATGTAGTTTTTAGCCACGCACCCTCTTGCATACCTGCTGGTTTCGTACGTTTTGGAAAACATTTGTATCACTGTAATATATATATCTGTAAATGTTTATTAATTAATTGACGAACAAAATGAACGTTTTCATAAGTGACATGTGATATGTCAAAAAAATGAAAAGGAAAATCAATAATTAATGACCTGATTATGTCTGTTTTGTGTAGATTGACCTCTTAAGTATTTATGGAAACTTTTTTTGAATTTCAGTATTTTAATTGGACCTTTTTTATTTAGTGTTTTTTTTTAACCGAGTTATTTTGATTGTGAATTGCATTTTTAATGTATTTTTGAATGCATTAAAGGGGAAAAAAAGTGTTATGTCACTGGTTCATGTTTTTCAATATGGAATATTTTTTATACAGATATAAAACAAAAATTCTTGAGTGCAAAGACTTTTCCTTTGGGTTATTCTATTTTACCTGAGTAAAATGTGATGTATTTTAACTGACCTTTACACGCATGCGTGAGGGTCTGCAGAGGTCTTGTCAGCTTTATGAAGATTGTCAAACTACTTATTTAAATATTTCTGTTTTTCAAGAATTTAAGCATTTTAATTGTAATTTTTCACCTAACTCTGGGCAGTCGCACCACATAGTCATATTGAAAATGTTCATCATAGAAGAGATATATATAGCGTCTTTGCAACTTTACAGATCTTCTTTATGCACCAAGAGCTTGTAACACTCCAAAGAGAAAGGAAACATTTAAAAAGCATCATATGACCCCTTTAATAAATTGCGTTTTAATGTTTTTTTCAAAACCACTAGAACATCATTGGCACTTTAGATTTGACATTTTTAATGTAAATGGCAATGCATGAGAAATAGCAATGCATTCCTGGGGCCTTCAAACATACAGGGAAATCTGGCTTTGATAGTAACAGGGTCAAGCTTTCATTAGCCCAGATTGCTGAAGGATTTATATTCACTAGGCTTGGATGTGACAGACACAGGGTCCCGAGTTTCTCACTGCAAGTTTTAATGTGATCTAAACAGCCAGAGTTCATTTGGTCCTGTTAATCACATAGCCATGTGTCAGTATACTTGACATGGACAACTGGAGAAGTGTGAAAATTCTCTGAAGACCAAAACAGAGAAAGCCTTACACTCACTATTACAGCCTCTATTGGAGCTGCATCAAAAGCAAATAACCACATGACGGCGAAGTGCAATAAAGCCATGGGTTCATTAAAGTTCCAGAACATTTGGTTCCCTGCCACAGACAGCCAGCAAATGCATAATAGCGTTTGTTGTGGATTAAACCGAATTATGAGATGCAAGCAGTTCCTGTTCTGGGTTTTTATTGCTGATTAATTTTTGAAAAGTAAGCCTAGCCTACTAAATTGTTTCACTATTAGAAAGTTGTAGACCTTTAAAATGCTATTCATAGTTTTCGGCCACATGACTGGCGTGGCGACCTGGAGGGCAAAACATCCATCGAACTGCAGCACAACCCTGTCAATTTTCCGTCTGTTTCAAGCTACGAGTTTAAATCACCTCTCAAAAGAAGAAAAACAAAGTGATGTCAACAAACTGCAAGTTTTGGGCACTTGCGATCCATATAAAGTACTTGCCACAATATTTCAATGACTAAAAATAGTGGATAATTCTGTAAAAAAATAAAAAAAGCATAATGTCTCCTAATGTATTAAGCGATATTAAAAGATTAAATTCAACATACACCTTACTGATGATGCAAGCTATATAAGCAAGTGGCTGAGCCCAGAATATGAATGCATTTAGCCATATTAAGCATTTTCTTTATAATGCTCTTCAATGGAAAAATGCCTTACGTCCAAATTAAGCAAGCTGAATTTGTATTCTGGCTGCATCTTTTTTCGTCTGTACATAGTTTTCATGATTAATAAGGTGTATACTGAGTTTGCTCTTTTAATATCATTGTCTTAGTACATTAGTTCCTGATAAAAAATAAGTGGCATTCAGTAGAGGAAAGCTGAATGCCCTCCAGGCGGGCGTTTCTGTACAAGTGTACATGGGCAGGATGACATAATTTGTTTTTGGTTCCTTTCAATCTGGATTGCGTGAAGCATAAGTGTGATGTTTTGGTTGGCTTGTGTCTCACCCTGACACTTAACCGCACATGTCTTGTCATTTCTCATTTAAACAGTCTCAAGTGACAGTGAGAATCTTAGTAGTTATTAACCAGGATGATTTGACAAGGTTTGACTCTTTTTGTTCTTGAATGAGGGTGTTGGCTTCAAAGTAGAGTTGAAGAGAAAGGAGAGAAGGGGCCATCAAGCCCCAAAAATCATGGTGATCGTAGTTGAAAGTCATACTACATGTGAAATTGTGAAATTTAACTCACTGATAGTCTTTGCTACAGCTCTCAAATCTTAACTGTGAAAAGTTTTGTTGAGAAACACATCTCTTACCTGAACTAAACAGGAGATTTTGCTCTCAAAGGAGAGATGTTTTGCACTTGTGAGTGTTTTGAGGCCGCGTGTGTAGGCTATATCTCTGCAGACATTTGGCACTGAGCTTCAAAATGTTAAATCACCTGTGAACGCTGCCGACCTTGAGCTCCATCTTCAGATGTTCACACTAGAATGCCACATTCTTTACTCCCTATGGATGTATGACAGCATTCTTCCTGAATTTCAGGGCTTGATAAATGTGTGGACGGCATGATGATAAACTGAACAATAAGCGTATGAATGTTTTGAGCAGGAAGAAGACCATCCCGTTGGAGAAGTTAGAATGTTTGTCTTTCATTTTGCTTAACACTGTTAACTAGAGTCTATGTACAGTACACTACTGTTCAAACGTTTAGAGTCAGTAAGGGGGTTGAAAGAAATTAATATTTTTATTTAGCAAGGACACATTAAATTGATCAAAACTGACAGTAAAGACATTAATAATTGTACAAAATATTTCTATTTCAAGTAAACGCTGTTCTTTATATTTATCAAAAAATTCTGAAAAAATGTATCAGTTTCCACAAAAATATTAAGCCACACAACAAGAATGATTTCTGAAGGATTGTGTGACACTGAAGATATATATAAATAATCAGGGCTGGGTAAAAATAAAATAGATATCTTCTCATTTTTACGGAACGATATCGATTCTTATCCCAAGAATCGATTAGTCTAGCCTGTTTTCAGTTAATGGACGGAACAATGAAGGGCACTTCCCATCCAATATATCGCAATAAGCATTGTACTTTTAATATGAAACAAAGTCTCAGATTTAAAATTCTGTCCATTGTATTGCAGTATTTAAACAATAAATGCCGTTTTGGCACTGCTTAATGTGAAGTGACAGATCGCTGGAGCGCCTCGATCAACAGACGCGGTAGAACTGATCATCTCCTCCACATTAATAGCAGTTTCAGCACAAAATAAACATGACTAAACATCCGAAGTTAAGTTAGAAGAAAGAGTACAACTTTACAATCTGTATCCTGTCTCATGTAATCGTTCAATTAGTGTTTCAGCCGTGCAAAGACGTCAATAATGACTTGTAAACAATGTGTCATGTAACGTCACATTTAGAAAAAACATATTCGGTGATCATAAACTCATTAGTCAGATAGAAAAATAAACTGTAGAGAGGGGCATTTTGCTAAAAATATGCACCATATAACATTCATTATAATTTTTACTGTTCTTCAATGTTTCATTTATGTTTGAATAAATTCATAATTTTTTTATGACAGACACCATTTAGTTGTTTATATAAAAAAAAATGGAAGTAGAATTGAAGTAGAAATGTTATGTAATTGTAACTTTATTTTAAAAACTTCATTAAGTGTAATTTTAGCAGTTGTATAGCCTACAAATCAGTCAATTTTAACCTTCAGTATTGTAGTACCAACTGACTCATGTATATTTTACAGCATTAGTTGAGAGATTTTTTTTTTTTTTTCCTTGAAAATTTGGTAAGTACTGTACCTGATATATGTCCAATATAATCTATATTGAATCGAATCGGTAATCAAATCGCAAGCTTGTGAATGAGAATCGAATCGTGATCATTTATATTTTACAGCATTAGTTGAGATTTTGTTTTCCTTGAGAAAATTTGGCATGTCCTGATATGTATCCAAAATAATCGATGTTGAATCGAATAATGCAAGCTTGCAAGCTTGTGAATGAGAATCGAATCGTGAAATTTGTGTCAAAACACAAACCTAATTAATATATATATATATATATATATATATATATATATATATATATATAATAAACAGTTATTTAAAGTTGTATTATTTCACAATAATACAGTTTTACGGTATTTTTGATCAAATAAATGCAGCCTTGATGAGCATGAGAATTCTTTCAAAAAATGAAAATTTTACTCATTTGGTAGTAATGTGTGGGATTTAAATAGGCTTTCACACTTTGTTGGTCTGTCTGTTTTTGTTCGTATTTATACACGTAATATCATCAGTATGTAATGGGCAGTGACGGTCTGCAATGGGGGGGGAATCTTATTTTGACTGTACTGAAGCATAAAAATACCTTGGTATATTCGCAGATATTTAGGAAACATGCTAAGTTCACATACTTGTTTTTCTGAAAAGCAATGTTACAGTCAGTTATTCTACTTTAAAATGTGTGTTCCATGTCAGAATGTCGGTTTTTGTTTTGGTCTCTGTGACTCCGCCCACTGCCCGTTTATCCAATAGTATTTCGACACCCTGGGTTGTCAGTTGGTGGAAAACAGTGTATTGCAGCCATGGAACCCAACAAACGAACTCAAAGATCACAGATTCCTAAAAAGCGTGCAGCATCAGCTCTGAGCAGAGGAATATTAAAACACAGATAAATCAACTCATCAGCTTACAGTGTACGGCTTGTCGCCTTCCGCTGTCAGTTGCGCTTATTCCCATTTCAGTCACTATCTGTCAATATTACATACTGCACCTTTTAAAGTAAATTAGATTTCACTTGTTCCACCCATTGAGAAATACAGCTCAAGTTTTCAAAGTGTACTGCACTACTGCAAGTGGTTTTTCAATGATGTCATGGTTGTGCAATCTTGAGCGCATATCTCACCGGTAATGTCAGACTGCTTTGGAATGCAACAAAAATCAATTTATATGACACTTCTGTGAAATGTTAAAGTTGTGCATGTAGATTGAGTTTGTCAGCTAGTTTTTGAATGATTTATCCTGTGTCTGCAATGTCTTTCAGAAAAAAAATAAAGCACAAGGAACTGAGAAGCACATAAAGGACATCAAACTTCAAGGTGGAAGTGGTAAGTGGTTTCTCTCGATCATGTCATGGAACATGTGCAGATGTTCTTTAGATAAACGAAAACAGAAAATGCATTGTGACTGAAAAGCTTGTTTTGCACTTCTAGATCGTGATGCGTGTGCTACGGTTATTATCTGTTAATGTGTCTTTTCAATGTCCCACGATTCCATTGTGAAATGTGTTGTTCTTGGCAGAGCGCGGGGTTTGGTAGCGCTGATGTTGGGCTGCAGGGACCTGTTAATACTCTTGTGTTGCTGGCCGTAGGCGATTCTGGCTTAAGCTCATGGAGATATTGTTTCAGATGTACCATAGAGTAAACAATGTAGTGTTCAATTGCTCTCCCCCAGGTACATGCTCATCTGAGGAGAATCTGTTGGAGACTTATGAGTGTCAGCTAAAGATACTACATGCAGTTCTGACGGCTTCAGGAGGCCAGGAGAGAGACCAGCTCCTCAAGGACCATCCTGGAGACATCTGCACTTTAGTCCACAGCATTATAGAGAAGGTAGAGTTTTAAAGCTCTTCTTATTCAAAGCCCTTTCTTTTTGTCGTGTGAATGGAATACATTGCAAGTACATGTAGCTTCATGTAGGCATTCAAGAACGACTAGTATCCTGATCCCGGATTATGTCAGTGGTTATACGTTATGAAGCTGTCAGCGCCAATAAACAAGACATGCTTTTCCATTACAGCATAATTGGGAACAAGGCTGATTCTGTGCGCTGTTGTTCAGGGTTTGGGAACGTGTGCTTTGGTACATCTGTCCTTGTGCAAACCTCTGACCAACAAAGCTAAACCTGTTTGCAGGGAGGGATGTTATTCACTGCCCTGTAAAGAGGGCTGGTTTGTGTGTTTAAACGCATTAGAGCACTGCTTGTTTTAACAAGAGAGAACAAAGATGGCTTATTTATTTATTTTATTTTTTTAGAACTTTGCAGATTAATTTATTATGTAAAATTATTAACAGTCAAACACAAATATATAGTGATATAATTGGGAACATTTCATAAAACTTTACATTGTTTGTATAAAAAGCTATGTATAAATAATATAACCTATCCCAACTGGAATATGTATATATATATACACACACACACAGTGCTGTGAAAAGGTTTTTGCCCCCTTCCTGTTTTTTTTATTTTTTGCATATTTGTAAAACCTTAAAAGATTCAGATCATCAAACAAATTTTAATATTACACAAAGATAATGCAAGTAAATACAAAATGCAGTTTTTAAATGATGATTTCTTTTATTAAGGGAAAAAAGCTGTCCAAACCTGCCTGGCCCTATGTGAAAAAGTAATTGAATAAATCTAATAACTGGTTGTGCCACGCTTTGCAGCAACAATTGCAATCAAGCATTTGTGATAACTGGCAATGAGTCTTTCACATCGCTGTGGAGGAATTTTGGCCCACTCTTCTTTGCAGAATTGTTTTAATTCAGCCACATTGGAGGGTTTTCGAGCATGAATGGACTGTTTAAGCATCTCAATCGGATTTAAGTCCGGACTTTGATTTGGCCACTCCAAAACCTTAATTTAGTTTTTCTTGAGCCATTCAGAGGTGGACTTGCTGGAGTGTTTGGGATCATTGTCCTGCTACATAACCCAAGTGCGCTTGAGCTTGAGGTCACAAACTAATGGCCGGACATTCTCCTTCAGGATTTTCTGATAGAGAGCAGAATTCATGGTTCCGTCAATTATGGCAAGTCGTCCAGGTCCTGAAGCTGCAAAGCAGCCCCAGATCATCACACTACCACCACCATGTTTGACTGTTGGTATGATGTTCTTTTTATGAAATGCTGTGTTGGTTTTACGCCAGATGTAACGGGACACACACCTTCCAAAAAGTTCAACTTTTGTCTCATCAGTCCACAGAATATTTGCCCAAAAGTCTTGGGGATAATCAAGATATTTTTTGGCAAATGAGAGACGAGCCTTTGTGTTCTTTTTGGTCAGCAGTGGCTTTTGCCTTGGAACTCTCCCATGGATGCCGTTTTTGCCCAGTCTCTTTCTTATTGTTGAATCATGAACACTGACCTTAATTGAGGCAAGTGAGGCCTGCAGTTCTTTAGATGTTGTTCTGGGTTCTTTTATGACCTCTTGGATGAGTCGTCGTTGTACTCTTGGAGTAATTACTCCAGTAATTACTCCAGTATTAACTAATCAAGCGATTAGTCAACAGAAGAGACAGACGGCTGCACGTGA